GGGGGGGGGGGGGGGGGGGGGGGGGGGCAGCATTCAATATGAAGAGAGAGACTATTGGCGTTTAGAACAAAAAATTTCATTCATCCTCATCAACAATTCAGGTGTATTAATAAATTAATGTAAATATTAAATCACCAATCAAACCAAAAACTTAAGTTGATGAGTTATGGTAAATTTAACTATATCAACACTCTGATACTTCTCAACACTTGTGGGCTTGAAATTTTGTAGGAAGAGCCAACCAGTGAAACATAATATTAATAGGGGAGAAAATGACAATTTATGTAAAAGCCTAGCCAAGGGAAAACAAAAAAAAAACGAAAAAACAAAACCCTAGCCACCTCCTCTCTCTGTAGCATGCAGATCGAAACCTCGCCACCGTCTCCTCTTCTTCTCCTCCTTCCTTATACACACCATCGCCTCCCTTCTCCTATTTTTGTCCTTCTCTTTGCCGCCCACACCGTCATGACAGCTACCAACTGCCCTGCCATGTTTCGTCGCTCATATCGCCATCACACTGCACCGTTGCCGCCATAACCATCGTTTGGAGGAGAAAACAGTTAGTTTCGTGGGGCTTGTTATTTTACTCCCATCTTGATTTTGGATGCAACATACCACTAATAGTCACCTATAAATGTAAATATAGTAACCGGAATGCTAAAGTTGGAGGTTTGACATGCTAACCAACCAAGCTTAATTCTTTTTGGAAAGTGGGAATAGGATCCACATGTCTAAATTGTTATTGCAAAATCTCTAGATAAGAGACCTTTCTATTAAAACTCAAACCGTTTTATTTTCTAAATCCGGTTAGATATGTATGCTCACTAAGGAACTATTTGGTTAAATTGGATGCCTTGCAAAATTTCTTTAGAAAGGTGTACCCAAGCATGATTTCACTAAAGTGTCTTTTAGCATCTATTCATGTATTTTAAACTATAAACTTTTAGTGTTAAGTGACATTTCCGACCGGTTCGTATGCGAGAAGTCCGGTCGTTACATTTTGGGAGTTCGAACACAGGATGAGCAAAGAACCTTCTACTAATACGATATTAATTATATCAAAAGTCTAATGCTAACTCACTATAAAATTGATAGATGTCTTGATATAAGTGTTCTTAAAAAAGGAGGGGATGTAATAAAGTTAGGAACAGGCCGGTATCAAACGCCACCTTTGTTTTTTAGGAATTGCGTACATTGATTGCCAAGTGAATATGAGAGGGAAAAATTGCAACCTCAAACCTGACCTTTTTATTTTTTATAAAAAGAACATATAATGAAACGGTGATAACAGGCATCCTCCAATATAAGACTTAACTTACCAACGTCATCTTCCAACTTTGCATTGTTCAAGTCTGCGACAAGCTTGGTTATAGATTCCTTTGTACCATTCTGGAAATTAAAATAAAGAGGAAAGAATCAATATAAGTTGATCACAAATCAGAAATAAGTAGTAGCAGGCAGAAAACCGACTTTATTTTGGGTACTACAATGGATCTAGTACACTTTAAAAACTTACAAACCGTAAGCAACAAAGGATTCCTAATGACCAAATATTAGAAGACAGGAAAGTTTCTGAAGATTTCAATCATTATAATTCAGAAGTGGCAGGAGTACCTTTGTATGATCTAAGAAGGGATAGCTTGAGCCTAACCAGTTTTAAACTTAAAGCATTTTGCCCATGAAAATGAAGTTATACAGACAAAGAAGAATGTGGTCTATTTATCTAAATGCTTCATCTATTTCAAATGATTTGTACATATTTCCCTTTAGTAGCTAACAAGAGGTTCATACAAATCCAACTAAACCAATTAATAGTTGATAAATAAATGAAAATCAATCACATTCTCATCGCGAGTTGTTACCGAAAAGCAAAGTTCTAGAAACATGGTGAAAAGACTTATGTTTTATATGGATGCTAGAGAGATTGTGGACAGTGTTAGACGAACACGACTCTCCACAATGGTATGATATTGTCCACTTTGAGCATAAGCTCTCATGGCTTTGCTTTGGGCTTCCCAAAAGGCCTCATACCAATGGAGTTAGTATTCCTCACTTATAAACCCATGATCATTCCCTAAATTAGCCGATGTGGGACTTTCATCATCCAACACCTCCCCTCGAACAAAGCACTCCTCCCCTTAATCGAGGCTTGACTCCTTTTTTCTTTTTGGAGTCCTTTGTTCGACGGGCATGGCTTTGATACCATGTTAGACGAACACGACTCTCCACAATGGTATGATATTGTCCACTTTGAGCATAAGCTCTCATGGCTTTGCTTTGGGCTTCCCAAAAGGCCTCATACCAATGAAGTTAGTATTCCTCACTTATAAACCCATGATCATTCCCTAAATTAGCCGATGTGGGACTTTCATCATCCAACAGACAGAACAGAAACATAGAATGGTTGAAGAAAAATCATAGGATGCATGTATACCGTACATAAGAACTTTTTTGCTCGACGTGTATAACTATCCATCACAGATCTTTAGCAATAAGATTTGATAATGAAGATACTTACGCATTTCCAGTTTCCACCAACGAAGAACTGCAAATACAACAAAGAATAATAATAATTAGAAATTAGATATAAGCAAAAAGTTTCCTCGTAGCATCTCGTCCTCTTACACGAATCTGAGATTCTTCAGGTAGCGGAAACGATTCAAGCGCCGAACGAGAATAAACTAATGAAAAAAGGTTCAATACCTTTCCGGAGCCGGCCATGGTAACAACGCCACGGGAGCCTTTCCTTGAGGATGCAAGGCGGATTTGTGAGCGAACGTTTTGCAATAGAGTCTGGGAAATGTCGGAGTTGGAACCTGACAATCGGACAGCTGAGAGTTGAGATGCAAGAGAAGTAGACACCACCGCCATGGCCAAGCTTAGCTAGGGATACCTTCGAGGCTCTGGTAAAAATCAGGATTCGTTCGGAGTTATATTTGGCGCATGCTCCGGCTCTCCTCCGCCGCTTGATCGGGATTAGGTGAGTGTGAGTCAATAAAGTGGATGTGGGAAGCGCGTGATGTCACTCTCCAGGTGCCCACAGACAAACTTCTGTACGTCAAATAATAATTTTTTGTTTAAAATTAAATATGATTTTTTTTTTCAAAAAAAGTGTAAATAAAATTAAAAGTTATAATTAATTAAATTGAAAGCTTGAAGTTATAATTAGATTCAAATATTATTTGAACGTTGACGCCCGTTTCTAGGACGGTCCGACACCTTACATGCACAGGTACCTACGTAGTGTAGTATCAGTGGTACATTCAACATAGCGTTCAGACTCACGTGCCTTCCAAAATAAAGGGTCTTTGAGCATTTTGCATACAATTAGCCAGCCTTGCAACAACAAAAGGATTAGACGTCCTCCCATGTTGTAGTTCCCTGCGGCCCGAACCCAATGCCACATTAGATTAGGGAGTTGGGCGATAATATCTCCTCCACATCCCAAAGCGCGTTGCTCTTAGTAATATAAGTCAACCCACATTACTGACTAACAGTGGTACTTCAAAACATTCATTTTGTCACCGTACCCACACTAATATCAATTTATAGCATAACTAAGTGGATAAGATATCGATTATTTCAACATTTCTCGAACGAGAGGGAATAAAAAGTCAAAATATTAGCAAAATTCAGCTCCTCTAAATCTTCTTTACACAACGGTGCTAGATGAAGACCAATAAGATTTCAAGCCAGACATAGAGGGCTCCACAACTCTCCATGTCCCGTGAACCAATTGAAATATATCTGTTATTGGGCACTCTTGATTTGAATGCTTTTCCACCTTTCATTCAACACCTTTAAACTTTTGGATAGCTGCAGCATTAACGGCCCCTCCCCCTCGACCAAGCTCGAGACCGACAACTCTCGTCCAGTGATCCTAAATTTTAAACATAATTCCTCAGAATATCGTGTATGTATCCGTTCATCTCTACATGATATTAGAGTCCTTTCTTTCTGAAATCAAATATCATCTATCATACATCAACAATGATAAGGGAATAAAACGACACCAATGTACTGATAAACGAATGGAACGATCATCTTTAGAAGGTATTTTGTTGAGGACGGTTGGGAGAGAAGTCCCACATCGGCTAATTAAGAGGTTGATCATAGGTTTATAAGTAAGAAAATACATCTCCATTGGTACGAGACCCAAGTCATGAGAGCTTATACTTAAAGTGGACAATATCATACCATTGTAGAAGTTCGTGATTCCTAATATATTTTGGGTGAACCTACAACTTTTATGTGTTTCCACATATATCAAGTGGTTTTTCATCCATTAAGCGTGCTACTAAACGAATTAGCCTCTAAACTACGAGATAAAGAACATTCACTTGAAGAACTCTCCTCTAGTTCTACTTCTGATGGATTATTTTCGTTCCCGTTCGTGTCGTTCGATTGTTCGAACGACGAATCATGCTTGCTTGGATGAACGAAAGGCGGTGCATTTCGGGAGGCCTGCTGCTCAGCCATGGAATTATGAGCTATGTATTGGACGAACGGGGAACATGGGTTTGCTATCACTCTAGGATTTTGATTTCCGAAGAACATGTAAGGTTGCGAGGTTGGATGTAGAGGAAATGGCGCTGGAGGCATTGGAAATGGAAAGGGAGCAGGGGCCATGACAATAGAGTTAGTAGCCATGAGTCTTTGCTGATACTGAGAATTAAGATTCTCAATATCAGATTTGAGTGAGGCCTTCTCTTCTCTTAGATCATTCTTTTCCTGGGCTAGCTGCAAGTGAATAAAAGTGCATGATGAACTAATATTAACAACTTGGAGTAATATAATCGTCTAGTGTAATAGCCCAAGTCCACGACAGATAGTGTCCGTTTTGGCCCCTTACGTATCGCGGTCAGCTTCACGATTTTAACACGCGTCTGTTAGGGAGAGGTTTCTACACCCTTATAAGAAATGTTTCGTTCTCCTCTCCAACCGATGTGGGATCGCACAATCCACCCCTCTTGGGGTCTAGCATCCTTGCTGGCACATCGTTCGGTGTCTGGCTCTGATACCATTTGAAACAGTTTAAGTCCACCACTAGTATTGTCTGCTTTGACCTGTTATGTATCACCGTTAGCCTCATGGTTTTAACATGTGTCTATTAGGGAGAGGTTTACACACCCTTATAAGGAATGTTTCGTTTTTCTCTCCAAACGATGTGGGATCTCACAATCCACCCCTCTTGGGGGCCTAGCGTCCTTACTGGTACACTGTTTGATACCTTGCTCTAATACCATTTGTAACAGTCCAAGCTCACCACTAGTAGCTATTGTCCGCTTTGGCTCGTTACGTAGCGTTGTCAGCCTCACGGTTTTAACACGTGTCTGTTAGGGAGAGGTTTCCACACCCTTATAAGAAATGTTCCGTTCTCCGATCCAACTGATGTGGGATCTCACAATCCATCCCCTTTGGGGGCCCAGCATCCTTGTTGGCACACCACTCGGTGTCTAGCTCTGATACTATTTGTAATAGCCCAAGCTCACAGATAGCAGATATTGTCCGCTTTGGCTTGTTACGTATCGTCGTCAGCCTCACAGTTTTAACACATGTCTGTTAAGGAGAGGTTTCTACACCTTATAAGAAATGTTTCGTTCTCCTTTCCAACTGATGTAGGATCTCACAATTCACCCCCCTTGGGGGGCCAGCATCCTTGCTGGCACACCACTCGGTGTTGGGCTCTAATACTATTGTAATAGCCCAAGTCTACCGCTAGCAGATATTGTCCGCTTTGGTCCGTTACGTATCGTTGTTAGCCTCACAGTTTTAAAATGCATCTGTTAGGGAGAGAGGTTTCCACACTTTTATAAGGAATGTTTCGTTCTCCTCCTCAACCGAGGTGGGATCTCATATATATGAATATGCCCATACAAGTAAATCTATATCACCTCACGCGATTCTTCTGTTAATGTTGCATACTCAGTTTTCAGTTTGTTTACTTGAGATGTCAAATCCTTCAGCAACTGAATTGTATCCATTAAAATGGTTGCTTTGTCATTTTTGGGCCTATCAGGATCTGCAGAGTTACCGATAATATCAATGTACCCGTGTCGCTAATCGAGTCGACTGCACAGACAGTGACACTAAGAATAAATAAATGAGAAAGAAAAATGTAATAGCTCAAGGTCACGCTAGCAAATATTGTCCGCTTTGGTCTCTTACATATCGCCATCAGTCTTATAGTTTTAAAACGCGTCTGCTAGAGAGAGATTTTCACACTCTTTTAAGGAATGTTTCGTTCTCTTTTCCAACCGATGTGAGGCGAGGACGTTGGCCCCCAAGGGAGTGGATTTTGAGATTCCACGTTGGTTGGAGAGAGAAACGAAACGTTCCTTATAAGGGTGTGGAAACCTCTCCCTAGCATACACGTTTTAAAAACCATGAGACTGACAATGATATGTAATGGACCAAAACGAATAATATCTGTTAGCGGTAGGTTTGGGCTATTACAGAAAATGACATGAATCCAACAATATCCCCCTATGAAACGTCCACGTTGAACTCGAAAAAAGAACAAGAAAGCAAAAACGATGCGTTAACAAAGAAAATCGAGACAAGAAGTATAAATGATTGTAGGATTAGAAAAACAGGCATTGTGGGACCATATGGAAGTGTTTTGATTTCACCTAAAACACTTCCAAGCTCAACAAATTGTTCATTCAATCGGTCTCTTCTTAGTTTCTCTCTGTCAGCCTTCTGAACTGTTCTAGCAGCTGCAGAATCCTTCAATTCACATTCAGACCTTTGGCAGCGGAAACAGAAAATTGATATCATAGCCAGTAAGCTATTGCTAATTCATGTTCTTATATCAATAGAAAACAGAGTTCAACGATAGTTATTTAAGGAACCATGTCATTATTGAGAGGAATAGTCCTATGTTCGTTCGTTAATTAAAGGGAAGATCATGGGTTTATAAGTAAGGAATACTATCTCTATTGCTACGAGGCCTTTTGAGAAAACCAAAAGCAAAACCATGAGAGCTTATGCTCAAAATAGACGATATCATTATCATCGTGGAGGTCGTGGTTCCTAAAATGGTATCAGACCCATGCCCTTAACTTAGTCATGTCAATAGAATCCTCAAGTGTCGAACAAAGAAGTCGTAAAATTCGAAGGTGTAGTCAAAGGTGATACAAGTATCGAATCAATTGTGTATTTGTTCGAGGGCTCCAGAGAAGAAGTCGAGCCTCGCTTAAGGGGAGGGTATTTGAGAGTTCTAGATAAGGAGGCCTCAAGGGGAGACTTTATGGTGTACTTTGTTCTAGGGGAGGATTGTTGAAAATTATTGAGAGGAGTAGTTCCACGTTGGTTAATTAGGGGGGAAAATCGTGAGTTTATAAGTAAAAAATATTATTTCCATTGATATGAGACCTCGCAGGAAAACCAAAACAAAACCATAAGAGCTTAGGCTCAAAATGGACAATATCATATCATTGTGGAGGTCGTGGTTCCTAACATGGTACCAGAGTTATGCCTATAAAATTATCAGGCATCGAACAAAGAAGTTGTAAGCTTCAAAGGTATAGTCAAAGGTAGCACAGGTGTCGAACAAATTGTGTATTTGTTTGAGAACTCAGGAGTCGAGCCTCGATTAAGGGAGGTTGTTCGAGAGCTTTAGAGGAGGCCTCAACGAGAGGTTTTAAGTATTGTACTTTGTTTGAGGAGAGGATGGTTGAGGACTATTGAGAGAAATAGTTCCAGGTTGGCTAATTAAGGGGAATATTATCTCCCAGAGCTTATACTCAAATTAGACAATATTATACCATTGAGATGTCGTAGTTCCTAACCGTGCTCAACCGGATAATCAAAACACGGGAAAAAACAAAAGGAATTTGAAATGGCGGATTCTAGAACAGACCTGGAACTGGATTGGGAGCGATTTGGGTGCCCTGAAAGCTCAATGGAGGGTGTGACTGGATTCGGAATTGGAGCGTCGCGTCGTTGATCCATGGCTGCCGGAGACATCCACCGGTCCTCGTGAAAGTGGCGAGGTTCCGTCGCGACTAACGGTTTGACGACGTCTCTGTAGTTCTTTCAGAATTCAGATGCATCTTCGATGCAAAACACTGTGGATAAGATGTCGAGCCAGTGGAAAGTTCAAACTATTGATGAGAGATGGAAACGTAAATATATTTTTGTTTTTATGTTCGGTCGAAAACTTATTTAAGTTTTTACTTTTTTTTTTTTTTTTTTTTTTTTTTTTTTTTTTTTTTTTTTTTTTTTTTTTTTTTTTTTTTTTTTTTTTTTTTT